AAGCCTCCGCCGGTCAGCTGGGGGAAAATGCTGGCTGAGGCTTTGCGAGGACCGTGAGGGAAGGCTCCCCCGTGGTCCTTCCGAAGCCTCCGCCGGTCGGCTGGGGGAAAATGGGGCCTATGGGCCCCATTTGGGCCTTTTCCCCCATAGGGAACATCGCAATGCGATCGCTTTTGCGATCACAAAATCTGCATCGCTATGCGGATTCGTCGTTAAACAGGGCATCCGTTAAGTGAGGCACCACTGTATAGACAAATAAATGCCCAAGATTGCAGAATTCTGGAAATATTTTTAAATTAGATCAGCTGTTAGAACGGCTTGGTTAAAAGGAGTTGCCTATGTACTGCTGAAACATTTTGAGACTGTTTGAAATTGTGTTGTGTTGTGCTAAAATAGACACTCATCTATTTTATGTGTCGCATGAAGCAGAAGTTGGGGTTCCAAAGATTTGATAAAGGGAAAAGTGGCTCAAGAAGTTTAGTAATTAGCCACAATGGAAAATTCTTTCTGAAAAAATCTGTGTTTTAATATTAGGCTACATTTGCAAAAGTAAAAAAGGCCATTGAGGTGTAGTAGATAAGAATCGTAGCTCCCCAGATATTGTTGGACTTGTCAGTCAGCCCTAAGTAACATAGCCAGCAGTGGCAGAGCCAGATATAATGGCCCAAAGTGGCTCACCCTAGATCAGTGTGTTAGACAGAGACTTCGCAGTGGTTCCCAACCTTTTTAACCCTGCGGACTGGTTGGAGAAGGCAGGGCACTCCCCTTGCTCGTGCGCATGCACAAAGGCGCGGGAGGGTCCTTGTGTGGGGGTGTGCCCTGGTGTGCATGCACAAAGGATGGTGCAGCACTCGTGTGGGGGCATGCATGCATGCACAAAGGGCGGTGCAGGGAGCACTCATGGGCATGCACAAAGGGTTGGGGGATCACTTGCGTGGGTGCAGGCGCATGCGCAGAGGCTGTGCGGGGGAGTGTGGGGGGGTGGGGAGGAGGTCTGTCTCTGTGGCCCAGTCCGGCTCAGGCCACAGACCAGCACCAGGCCACGGACTGCGGGTTGGGGACCTCTGCACTAAAATCCATGGGTGACCCTGACAGTCATGCTGTCAGCTTGATCTGTTTCAGAGAGTAACGATAAAATGAGGAAAACAAGAGCTATCTGAACTCGCTACTGGAAAGGCTGGATATAAATCTAACTAATAAATATAGGGGCCAAAATCCTGTTGCTTAGCAAAGTAAATTACACTAAAAGTAGGTCCATTTAATCAGTAGTGATTTAGTGAGTCAACTCCTTTGTTCTATTAATTCAGATAGGCGTAATCTAACTGCAGCTTACTTTAGCATAGTTACAGTAAGAGTAGGCTCGTTTGAATCAGTAGAACCTATGGAAGAGATGATTCACCAAATTTCCATTGATTCAATGAGCCTAATTGAATGCAATTTACTACACTAAGTGACAGGATTTTATTTGTGTAATGTATGTGATGTCATGAGAATATTGTACTTGTTCATTGAACTTTTCAATGTGTTCTGAATATTTACTCTTTCTTGTTCTCAGATTCCTTAAAAGATCATCCACAGCAGCAACCTGGCATGCTTTCTCGTGTGACTGGTGGGCTCTTCAGCATAACAAAAGGAGCTGTTGGTGCCACCATTGGTGGTGTGGCATGGATAGGAGGGAAAAGTTTTGAAGTGACCAAAACAGCAGTAACAGCTGTGCCTTCTATGGGAGTAGGATTGGTTAAAGGAAGTGTATCTGCTGTGACAGGAGGTGTTACAGCTGTAGGATCTGCTATCACAAGCAAAGTGCCTTTGACAGGGAAGAAAAAGGATAAGTCTGATTAAGGCAGCAGCTAAGACCTATGTATCAAGGACGTGTCTGCATGGCTTGAAATCTGCAAATATTTGGACTTCTAGGAAGCCACAGATCTTAAGACGTGCGTAAAGAACTGTTTGAGTAACTTTCATGTGAAATGGACAGAACCAGCTTGGCTTTGAACTATCTAAATCTTTAGATTTCCTCAAGTACTCATCTAGTGAAATGTTAAGACTTGATTACATGTGTAATCAGATGCATGGGTCTGAAGGGATGACTCACATTTGAATATTAATTCACTGTAGTTTTTTTTTTCAGTCTTGAACTAAAAATGTGAAAATAAAAATGGAGGTAATGGCCTAACAGAGTTAAGCACTTTGAAATCCTTTTGGTTTCAATGGGAGGAATTTAAATATGTGTTTAAGTCTCCCTTTAAAATCACTTGAAAGTGCTTAAGTATTGGCTGGATCGTGCCACTAGTTGGTAGCCTCTGCAGTACCATAAATATATTGATGTTCTAAGTACAAGTCTGTGGCTCCTGTATTTTCTTGGATAAGGAATCATTGAACTGCCTAAAGGATCTTCATATATCTTTGTTTTTTGAAACTATTTTTGTACATTCTAAATTTTTTGAATGGTGACATCTGTCACAAGGGGTGTGTGTGTGTGCACGCGCACATATAGATGTATATTATTAACTCATTCATGCCTTAGAGTGAAAAACAATCTATTTTTACTTAGTGAACCTATAAAGATTTTGTAATGTCCCTCATTTCAGTGCAGTCTATGAAGAAGCTTTACACTTTTTAAAGAAAAGAACTTGATACCAAGTCACAAAGACTGCTAAATCTCAGGTGTAGCTTACTGGTATCTGCCTACAAAATGAAAATCCTTTGTGGTATTCAGTTTTTTTAACTGATATGTAAGTCCAAGTTTACAGTCCAGATAATTAATGTCTGGCACTAGAATGAAAACACTTTTCTGTAGCTTCTAGCCCAACAGTACAAATAACTCTAAAATCTATTTCTTTGGCACAGGACATAAATCCAACAGTAGCTTGGATCAGGTTGCCATCAGGTTATTTTGTAGGAGATAAAAATGAGGCTGTTGAGCAAGAGTTGTTAATGGATTAGATTCATCACTTTCAATATGACAACATAAAGAACCTACTACCAATAGGGTAAGCTTGGAAGATAAGAAAAACAAAATGGTCCCCAAGATTTGCTAGTGATGAAAGCAAAATGATTTAAAATGAACTAATGCTTGCATAAACATCAGTTTAAAACATACAGTCTCAAGGTTTCCTGAGCAAGATTATTTTTTCACTTCAAATTCATTAACCACAAAGTGGCCCTATTCAAATAAGGGGGCTATATTGCGGATTAAATGGGTTTATGCCTTGTGAGATTCATTTGAAAGCTCTTCAGCATGTTCCTGTTGACTTTGTAGCATTTTTATAGTCTGTAAAAAGTAGCTGAAGTTCACATGAATATTCTGTATGCAGCATTTCCTAAAATGTGTGTGTTAAAATAAAAGGGGAACAAATCTTAGCATGTGAAATTGGTCAAAATGGTCATGATTATAAACAAGTAGATTAATGAGCAATGTGGGTTTTTTCTTTTGTAAAATTTACATCCAAAAGCTATCATTTGTCTAAAATTACTTATTCTCGTTACTAGCATTTTGTAAATTAAACAGTCTGATGTAAGTAACTGTGATGCTGCTATTCCTATTTCAGCTGCAGTGACCATAGTTTGGTGGCAAGGGTACACACTGCTCTTGCAGACATCTCTGCTTAAAAAGATAATGATAGCAAGGGTCAGTGCTGAACACCTTGAAAGGCTGCTGTCCATCTAGCTCAGCACTCTGCTCTGATTGACCAACATAAAGCAACTTTGTATTTTTCTGAGATCTACATTTATTTAATCTATTTTTGACCCAATTGTCTCTAAAAGATAAAATAGAATGTGTTCCTTTAAGCTACCCAAGCACAAAAATTTATTATTTCTGCTGTCTGAACAAGGGCTTTATGAAAGCAATGTTGAATGAGACAGTGAAGAGGTGTAATAAGGGCATACTGGTAGTTGAGAGCTTGTGAGAAGCTTTTAATAAAGGATGTCTTGACAAGCATGCAGATACTCACATTTTGATGTTCAAGTATTCCTTAATGGCTGAACATCAAAATGTGAATATCTGCATGCTTGTCAACATATAGTAGCCAAAATCCTGTTGCTTTGTGTAATAAATTGTACTAGAGTAGGCCCATTGAATCACTCAGGCTTCATTGACTGAACACCTCTATATGTTCCTTGATCGAAATGGGTCTCCTTTAACTGCAACTTACTAAAGTATATCACTAGTAGACCCATTGTAATCAATGGAATTTACAGAGAAGTTGACTCAGGGAATCTCCATTGGGTCAATGGGCTTATTCTACACTAAGCAACAGAATTTTGGCCAGTAATAGGTATGGTTCAAGTGGCTACAGAACCAGGGGGCCAGGACTTTGAATACTCACTTAACCAAGATGACCCAGAGCAAATGTAGCTGATGGGATTTACATGTTTTGTCTCCTGTGCTGCCTTTGGTAAACTGCATAGTTCCCCCCCCCACACGCACACACAACACAAGGGTGGAAGGCTGAGTCAACCTTGAGCCGGCTACGTGGGATCAAACCTTTGACCGCAACTACACTTTTGGCTGCAGTACAGCAGTTAAAGCACTGTGCTATGAGGCTTCCCAGCAAGAAGAGGGTAAATCTGGTAATCACTTCAGAGTACGTACATCTCTTCAGAGTACAATTAAAGATGTTACAGAGAATTGCTGTAAATCAGAATAGATTTGACAGTACATAATTTATAGCATATGTTACAGGAAAATATATCATCCTTTCATTAGAAATGCTTTACAAAGATACTTCAATGTCCTTCAGAAGAAGAGTTGGATTAATTCATGGTACATACGTGACATTTATAAAATAGCAAACTGAGGCTAATGTACAAGATGGATATTGGCATGCAAATGCTTAATTAGTCAAACATTTAAAGAATATATACTTAAAATGATGGGAAACTTGTGACTCTTTTCAAATGCAACTCCCATCATCACTAGCAACTGGTCATCCTGGCTGGGCTAATAGGAGTTGGGAGTATAACAGGAAAGTCACAATTTCCCCATGCCATCCTAGAACTTATCTGGATGTTCTATGTTATAAAAAGAGCCATAGCTTTACCAAGCAAAGCACTCTGTTCATAGTTGCCAGCTGTCTAAAGGAAACCCACAACAAATACATACAGTAATTGTAACTACATCCTCCCATTCATGCAAATGATATTTACTGTACATCTATATAAAGCCATTGAAACAGGTCATCCAGAGATTTGGAGTCTGTTGCCATTGGTGTGCTGATGGCATGCAGTTCTCTCTCTCCTTTACATCCTCTACAGCAGTGGTCCCCAACCTTGGGCCTCTAGATGTTCTTGGACTTCAACTCCCAGAAACCCTGGCCTATAGAGCTGGTGGTGAAGGCTTCTGGAAGTTGTAGTCCAAGAACATCTGGAGGCCCAAGGTTGGGGACCACGGCTCTACAGTGTATGCTCTCTGGGTGCTTGAGCACTGCCTGGCCTGAGTTCTGGAATGGGCCAAGACTAACAGACTGAAGCTGAATCCAAATAAGATGGAGATCCTTCTGGGGGGGCTTTCTGACAGACTAGGAGACTGTGTCCCTAAATTGGATGCGATAACTGTTCTACTTAGGGATTGAATTCAGGCATGTTCCCGGATCCAGCTTTTTTATTGGATTCTCAGATTGCATCTGTGTACAACCTGGAAACTAATGAAGGCAGACTGCTCACCTCTGCCCCAGATGGCTAAGGGGACCCCAAGGAAATTGTTGCATGTGCACATGATCTCGAAGATTGACTACTGTAGCCACTCTCTATTTGGGGTTTCCCTTGAGACTGACCTGGAAACTATAGCAGGTTTAGAAAGGAGCACCATTGAATGGAGTCAGGGGTGTGTAAATTTGACCACATCTCAACGGTCTTGGCTCACTTACACTGGTTGTCTGTGAAATTTCAAGTTTTGGTTCTTACATACAAAGCCCTTCACAGTTTGAGGCCTCATTACCTGTCAGAGTACCTTTCCCCAAGAATACTGACCTGCACCACCAGATCCTCACAGGCCGTGCTCCTATGGATTACTATACCAAGGGAGGTCAGAGAGACATCCACCAGAAATTAAGCCTTCTTGGCTATGGTACCATCTCTTTCGAATTGTCTTCTGGTTGAGCTGCACCTGGTCCCCTCCCTCTCAACCTTTAAGAGATTGCATAAGACATTGCTTTTTACAGAAGCTTTCAAGGGTATCTTCCCATAAATTTGCCAAATGTGTGCCACCTATCCAACTGTTGTCTGATGGCACAGTACTTGGTTTGTTTTATGTTGTTTATTGACTGGATCTTATCATGTTATGTCTTTATTGTTTGCTGTTTTTCTTAGACTATTGTATATGCTTTGATTTAATTTTTAACCACCCAGCATAGTGCCTCACACAAATCAGGCAGTATAAAAGTTTAAATAAATAAAAACCACAAAATAAGCAATTCAGTAGAATTCCTATAACATTTTTTAAGCAGGCTCCAGAAATTAATCTTCAACATTTAAAGGAGCAACTGGGTTAAACAATGGTCTCTCCTTTTTTTCTTGTACCTTTCCATAAGTGGCTTCAAATTCCTTTTTTGTCCCACTCAGATATTCTAGAGTTCCACTCTTTAAATGGAATCCTATTGAATCTAATTTTTTTATCCTGTATTGCACTATTTCTGCTGATAGTTCTAATACTGCGGGTGTATCTTTAATTTGGTCTATAGAAATCCCCACCTTCAATAATTCCTCAATTCTTTTTTCCAGAACTGGAACTGAGTAGTAGAGAAGGGCAGGACATTTTATTATTAGCTCTTTTAACTCTTGATCAGTACACTTGAAGATGTTCTTTGAGAAAAACAGGCTGTTCTGCATAGTGCTTGGGTTAAGCTGTATGATAAACCCCTTGAGTTTGGACATCAGACTTAAAACCTCTGAATCAGTAAATTTGTTCTTCTGGAGAAAGTCCAAGTTCTCTTTGACACTGGAAGTGGTATTTAACAAAATAAATGGATTTTGACAGAGTAATTTTAGTAGCCATTTTTTCATATTCTCCTGTGAACCACCTAGTCTTAGGTAGCTACTGTGCAAGGTTTCTATCATATCCTTATTCTTCGCCACAGGATTGTGAAAAATGTTTGATGCACTTATTAGGAGCCTGCTGATAACTATATTCTTTAGTCCCAGATCTTTAAAGAATCTAACATTGGCTTTCTGGTTTTCATAGTGTTCAACTGTAAAAAAAGGATCAGGAAATCTTTTTATTAATTCAACTAATTGCTTTTCATTTTTGCAGACAGATAACCACAGGTCTCTTTGACAACTGATATCTCTAGGACAACACAGGATGGCTTCAGGATAGCATTCAAAAATATGTGCCACAGAAGTCTCATCAGCTCCTATTTCTTGCAGAATTTTAGCTGTTTCTTTGACATACATCATCTTTCTAAAAAGCAACCATGGCTTCACCCTACGGATCTTGTTGACATCCACACACAACTTGGCCAGGTCTTCCACAGCGGCTTTGTTCTCTTCTTCTTGTGTGACACCTGTTGCATATTTGAGATGCTGTAAAAAGTTGCCATTCTTTCTTTGTTTCTGTAACGTCAAAAGGCTGAATAGTATGAAGCAAGGCCTTGATCTAGTCAAAGTAGTCACAAATAGCTTTGGAGCAGTGTGAGTCATTTCATCTTATGGTTCAACAATATGTAAAGAAGAGTCTGTAAAACCAAAACATAAGAAATTGTGTTAACCATCTTCAAACTCGAAAAATGGGGAGAGGAGGCTCTTGAATCTCAGTCCTTCCAGACAATGGTTTCAATCAGCATAAATCAAAAAACATTATGAAGCCATTCCATATTTTTTCACATCAGGTTTTTTGTAAGCAGACTGAAGAAAAGGTAGAAAAACACAAGAGGAACACAAGCAAAAGATGATGTCTTAAGCCCATCAAGTTCAATGAATGATGCAGAGTATTCTGTGATAAAAGTTTTATCTGAAAGCACATCAGAGAATCATTCAGTTGGAAGGGGCCTATAAGGCCACTGAGTCCAACCCCTTATTCAGTGCAGGAATACAAATCAAAATATATCTGCCAGGTGGTTGTCTAAATTTCTCTTGAATGCCTCGTGTTGGAGCACTCACCACCTCTCGGGATAATTAGTTCCATTACCGTACTATTCGAACAGTTAGGTTTTTCCTGATAATCAGCTAAAATCTGGCTTCCTGTAACTTGACCCTATTATTGCAGGTCCTGTACTCTGGGCTGATTGCCAACAGGTTTTGCCCCTCCTCTGTATGACAGCCTTTCATGTATTTGAAAAATGTATTCACGAAGGTTTTGAAAAATGCTATCATATCTGCTCTCACACTTCTTTTCTCAAGGCTATATAAGCTCAGGTTTTTCAGTCTTTCCTCATAGGACTTGCTTTCCAGCTCCCTAATCATTCTTGTTGCCCTCCTCTGAATTTGTTCCAATTTGTCAGCACCCTTCTTGAAGTGCAGTGTCCAGAAACTGACACAGTACTCAATATGAGGCCTAATCAGTGCTGAACAGAAGGGAACGAGTACCTTGTGGGATCTGGAGACTATACATCAATTAATGCAGTCTAAAATAGCATTTGCCTTTTTTTTGTAACCACATCACACTGTTGGGTCATATTCATCTTGTGATTTATGTTGATTCTAAGATCCTTCTCGCTTGTAGTATTGCTGAGCTAGGTATCCCCCATTTTGTAACTGTGTGTTTGGTTTCTTTTTCCTAGGTGCAGTACTTTGCATTTATCCCTGTTGAATTTCATTCTGTTGTTTTTAGTCCAGTGCTCACACCTATCTAGATCATTTTGAATTCTGTTTCTGTCTTCCAGGGTATTAGCTAGTCTACTCAGTTTTGTTTCATCTGCAAATCTCATTCCCCTGATCAAGGTCATTAATAAAAATGTTGAAGAGCATTTGGCCCAGGACTGAGTCCTGAGATACCCCACTTACCTCCTCCCAGTTTGAGAAGCCATTAATCATCACCCTCTGACTACAATTCTGTAGCCAACTGTGTATCTGCCTGACAGTAGTTTTACCTAGTTAGCTCATGTGGCTTTAATAAAAGCACTTTTTCTCACATGGCAGATAGGATCCTAACTCTGCCTTCATTCAACAATAATTTTTTCAGGATATAACCAGGTGTTCTTTGATTGCAACTGTAGTCACATTCCCGTATTTAGAGAATGGGGTGTAGTGTGGAGAACTTCTCACCTTCTGTTTCATTGAGATATGGAAGATAAGACAAGTGTTAAGAAGCAGCAGAAAGTATGTTAGTAGGTCAACAGCAAGCACATGTATTTTGCCATAAGGAATGTAACTCTGCCAATCAGCATAATTTGATCATTACTGCCCTACCTCCTACACACCATTCCTTTCTCACTTCCACATCTTCTCACTGACCATTAACTCGTGCATGCTTAAGGAACCAGGAACACTTAGCAAGAGGATCAAGGAAGGAATGTGAGAATTGCATTTCCCTATAATAACAGCAACCTTTCCTGCTGTAACAACGTGTTAAAGAGAAATATGTTTTGCAGGTAACAATCTTGTAAAACATTCCCTCCCATGCCCAATGGCAGTTAGATCTGCCATTTGTGGTTTTGTTACAAAGCTATTTTGATCTCTCTCGTCAGTGTTTGTACATCTTGCTTTTTCATATCATTAGTCCCTTTCCAGTGTCAGGAGACCAAACAGGACTCTGAGATAAGATCAAACCTTGTATGAAAAGAGAACAAAGCTTCTGTCTCTTCAAGATCTCTGAGACAGGGAACCATATAGCAAGCAGGTGTGCGCTTTCCCAACTGCAAACAATGGGCAGGGGGCTGCAGTTGCAGGCTTGCTTTTCCTCCACCTCAGAAGCATTATGCCCCCTTTAAAATATAGCTAATATAGCAATGTGGGAGTTGTATGCCCCTCCTCTCCTCTATTCACCCAGGACCCCAAGTGCCATCTCCGTCCCTCAATAATCATGTAATAGACTTCAAAATGAAGTTGGAAGATTGAATAATAATAAAGTGAAATGAGGCTAGTTGGATACAGGAAACATTTTCTGTGACTGAGGAGAAATTTAATCAATGCAGCACTTATATGCATGCAATTTATGCTCCACCACATGTACAAAGGAAGACCTAGCAAATGGCCAAGATAAGGATACTGAAGTAGCCCGTTTCTGGTTAAAAATAGTCATATTCTTTCAACATTTTTATTTGTTTTTAATTTTACTTATATTTACCTAAGTTGTGCAACACTCTGATATGAAGGAAAGAAGGAAGAGCCCAGTCCCACAATTCACTGAGCTTCCTACACACCATGTCCCTTATACCACAATGGCTCTGCCTTGCCACTTTCCAAAATGGAGCTCCTACTCCCATCATCCAAAAAGGGAAGTGATAAGACAGGAGGAATTGATTCATAGATAAAATGAGCCTTGCTCCATGTTTCCTTCTGGTTTGGTAGCTAATTGGGGGTGAGGCCACAGATAAAGTTGAAGGGAAAAGCCAGTCATACTTATTTTGGGGGGAGCAACAGAGATTCTTGTCACAATATATATCAGACAGATGTGAGAACTCCCATGCTTTTACTTTGGGTATGTGTGGAAACTATACAGAAGGATGTAGAGATTGCCATTTTGTTCTGCAACAGATTAGGGGTGTGGAGCTGTATGTTTTTGGACTGCAACTCCCAGAATTCTGGTTAAGAAATTCCTGGAGAATTCTGGGAGTTGCAATTTAATTTGGAGAGGTGTTGCCTGGAGAAACTTAAGGGTTGTGGTCCACAAACATGAAATAACACATCCTTAATCAGGATTCTGTCAAGGAAATAAGAGTTTCCGTGCCAGATTCTAGCCCTATACTGAGAAACTAAAACTGAGGGGAAGAGAGAATACTCAATCCACAGCCTCTGCAGCTGGGATAGTATTGGAAGAAGAATGCCATTGGCTTCACTGCATGCAGGCTCCCTGGCCAGGACCTATGCAGCAAAGAGTAGCCCCTAGGCAATTGATGCTTGAAGAGGGCTACCTTGCTTTTATCCTTCTACAGGTGAGTATGAAAAGACAGTTCCTCTACCACAGTTGCGTCAAAAGGAGATTTGTGTCTCCCAGTATATCTCTAGGCAAATTAGAGTAGTTCAGTAAGGGTTTCTGACTTCCAACTACTGTATTTTTAACAACAACAAAAAACCCTATACTGTACTGTAGTCTCACTTTTGAAAAGAGAGGCTGGAAAACAAGAGCTCCATTCTGGCATTTGAAATAAATGTGAACTAAAGTTTACAATCTGTCCTTCTCAACCAGGATACAATCATATGGCCCCAATTGGTCAACCCTGTTTCAACAAGAAGCACAAAAGTACACCTCACAACTCTAAAGTCTGCCTGCTCACCTGTGGTCTAAGCACCTGCAAAGTTCTCTAAAAGGATATTGAAAAACTACTTCAGCCAGATTCATAGGGATTCAGCATGGAGAACTATGAATTAGTTTTAACGGTTATGTACAATCCAGATAGGTCCTCAATGTAGTGTGATGGACAGAGTGACAGACTAGGATTGAGAAGACTGGGTTCCAATCCCTGCTTCTTCGTGGAAAATTAGAGGTGGGTGGGTAGTCACGATAAAAACCACTCCTTAAATGTCTCTCGTAATCTTCAAAACCCTATTAAGGTCTAAAAATGGGATGAGCCTTTATGGTACATAACATGCTCAAACCCGAAGAAAACGGAAATAAAAACAAAATATTGTGGCACCTTAAGGACCAAGAGATTTGAAGAGAGTGGTCGCAATGACCAGATAGGCGGGGTATAAATAGAATAGAATAGAATAGAATAGAATAGAATAGAATAGAATAAATAGTCCCCCTTCCCCTCACTCCCACGCAAACTCCAGGGGCCAGAGGCTGTCTTCAACAGGAGGCAGCCATGCAAAACGCCAAGAAGGGCAGCTTTTCACCATTCGTATGCCTCCAAAGGATAACTCTTGTGCCAACGGCTCAAGAGGCTTTCTCCGAAATGGCAACCGAGGCTTTCCGGGTGTCTGAAGGACGAGGAAGTGGTGCTGGAGCGCCTTAAAGGTTATTAAACGTCATGAATACAAGAGGGCGGGCTTCCCGCTTCAATCTCATGCACGTTTGCATAAAACTAAGCCCTGTTTAATACACGAGAAGTTTAAAAAAAAAAGGCTTCCGGAAAAAGCAAATTGGACTACCGTAGTTTAAATCTTCCTTACGCGTTGTGTCCCCGCCCCGCCAGCGCTCAAAGACAGGATCGTCGCCCCTTCTGACGAGGAAGCCCGGCCATGCGCTCCGAGCCCTGGGTGACTCGTCTCTTCCCCCCC